ACCTTACAGGGTACGGTTGGCAACCGGCACCAGTGGCGCGTTTGCAGTCGTCTCCTTGCTAGGATGCATGACACTAAACCATTTACGCGGTATAATTGGCTGTAACTAGATTGTCTCACTGATGCCACCTCATTTTCGCACCACAACCAACCGTGATTTCAGCAATTCGTAGACACCTCAGTACGGTATCTCCACTTGGGACGTGTGTATTTTGGATCATGTGTCTGTTTTCTACACTTTATTTCTCACTAGTAGAGTAATTGTGCTTGTTTGGAAGCAAGACATCCGAACAAATTGCCGTTGCACCTCTTTGGTGTTGGTGACGACATGCTACGCACAAACCCGTGGATATTCGCCCACAATATATCAAACACTACCCACTCAGCCATACCTGTTTCACCCCACACGAGGGACCGCTTGCCACACACACACACATCGGTTTCGATATATCCGTCAAACTGGCTTCATTACCAGTCACCCCTGTCAGCTTACATAATGCCCAAGGGTTACGAGTCTGCAACCAATCGTCCACACTTAATTAAACCGTTGTGTTTCGTAACCTCTTACCGGAAAAGCGCCTTTATATTTCTGACCTTATTTAATGACTGATGTGCTTTAATGGTCTTCGATGCTCTTCTTCACATAGCCGGTGAAATTGCCAACACGCACTTCAATATTAACAAGTGCATCGATCTATTCAACTAACTTTATTCACCGGGTTGGTTCGGCATATTGTCACTCCGCAAACTTTTCTCCTTTTCGACGGCTTTCTCCACAGTACGAGCACTTGTCCGATGGTCATAATCAAACTAAACTGCTGACGCAGTCTGATATAAGTTGTTGCGTTTTCGATCGTACTGACCGAACCATTCGATTAAATTGCCTTTTCTGAAAACAGCCACTTCGTTTTCGGTCAGTTTGACTGAATCGATGTTTGACCATCAGTTCGGTCGATGCTTGGACACATTTCTGCCCCTCACTAACCACAGTGTGGACGTTTGCCTACGTCTACTGTCCTGGAGTCACATGGAATTACTTTCTCTCGCCTTTCACTGCTCTTAACATCATGGGCGAGTCAACTACTGTCACCCGAATGGGATCCTGGACAAGGAATTGTTTGTGGCTGAGTCCTTAATTGGTTCTCTGAGCTGAGCAGTTTGATTGCAGGCGTTTCGCCACTAACTCGTGGTTGCATCCTTAGTCCGCAATAGCAAGCAGCTTGCTAGTACGTACTGAACTTCTTGCAAATTCAGGGACGGATTTCGTCTGCTATCAATATTATCTGCTCTTAACCCATCATGTTTTCAACCACCCACTCGAGCCAACCCTATTCAAATTTGCTTGTGAGCCTATTTTTCAACCCATTTGCCCTCGAAAGAATCTGCTACTTTTCCGCGTTCCGAAGTTATCGTTCCCTCCGCGTCTATCGGTCTTTTACCACCAGTTCATTTGACCTGTGCTGATCATCGTGTCAAACTGTGCACCATAGTGTGTGTGCCCGGGTTGTAGTTTCCACTGAACTAACATCTAGGGATCTGTGACTGCAGCAGCCGCCTTGATGGCAATCAGCCGATAAGTTGTGCGTTGAGACTTCATGCACCGGGCCCACTTACTTCCCCTGATACGTTTCCGTTCGTCGATTTCATTGGTTACGGATACAGTTTTCAAATACACATCCGTATCCTCTTGGTCAAACACTATGTGGCGACCGTTTATTATGTAGCGTAAAATGTTCGGCGCCCAGACGTGATGAATCAGTTCTTCATATATGTGCCAGCACAACATTTTGTTCATTATGACCTCATCCGAAGTGGAGAGTTTCGGGACTGTTTTCTCTCTATCTCTCCCTCAACAGTGCACTCCACGATTGACCGGTTTCGTCCAGTTTTGGACTCCTCAGCTAGTGAGCTTTAGCTGAGAGGGGAGCCAGAAATATAGTGTGTGTCACAGTCCAAGACCCACCAGTGACACAACGTTTTCCTCTTCATGATAATTGTCACGACCCCACTGCACAGGAACCTCAGTACACAGTTCAGAATCACAACAGACCTTACTGAAAACTCGTCTCACCGACACTCCTGCCTCCATCGTTAGCCACATTCTCTTTCACATTGATCACCAAGCGACTTCCCTAGGCACACCGTCCTCCTCTCACTGGACTTGTCGGTTCTACCTCAGATCGGTAGAGTTTTTGCCTTTGCTTAAGCTCATCCGCGACCTACTTTGGCGTTTCTTCGCAGCGATTGCGTCGACAATTCTCGGTACAACAGAACCTTGTCAGGATTTCGGGTCTCATCTAGCACATTTGGCCTGTTACTCGAGTTACCGCCCAATGCCACCATACTCATGCCATTTACAGATAAAACCTCGTACAGATGCGAATGGCTCATACATGATTTGGCGACGTCCGTATCCGGATTTACCTGTCACTGTGACGTCCATGGGGACAGTCACAGGACGCCTGCGCCTACAGAGGGACCATGGGTGGCTTGCGCTGCACCACCCATAGTTCCATCCACACACTCCATATCCGGTGTAAACCCGAAGGAATAAGACCGGGAGGCATGCGGATGGGAGCCATGTTTCATCAACGGAGCCGGCCCACACTCCTTCAACAAGCAGAACGGAAGCATTCCGGCCTAATTGGGAAATCATACACACCAGACGTACACGAGGCGGTGGCTGGACCGTAGCCCGTTCCACACAGATTGCATGGAACCACTCTTTGAGCCTAGCACCGTCACGAGGACAGTGCACTCCGTCCCCTCCAGCGACGACCAACTGTCTCCTGGAGCCAGTATGGACGAGGTAGGGGGTAATAGACAGGTAGGCACCTTGTCAACATTCACATCAGGCGCATCCACACAGGGGAGCTCAAGCAACATCTACTTCTGAAATGCAAGATTACTCATCACGCAGGCAAACGTACCACATACGCCGCCTTATTGGCCTGGATTAGTAAATTGAATGGGAACATACTCATGGTGCTTCTATTCCGCATACAATTGTGCCTTCTCCGGCACCTGAGAAACCGCCCTTTTGAGCAGTTCACGGAATTCGCATCGATCAAATTTGCCTTGGATTTGCAACACCTGAAATCAACATGAGTTTGTCATAAACTCACCTTCTTCATGTTCTGGTAATATTATTTTCGGTTTGCTCGAATGTCGTTCTACTGCACTAAGTTAACCGTACAAAAGCGGTATGAAGATCCTCGTGGAATTCATTCGGTATACATATATACATAGATTGGCGTCATCTGTGTCCAATGGCAGTTCGAACGCGACATATGTACATGCGTTTCTCCAAACTTAAGTGTGAGCTGTCCCAAACTGGATAGAGACACATTAGACATCATCATCAATGGTACGACAAACGTGTATGGGTTTCGTTTGGAGGTCAGGCTAACAACCACTTTTGCAGGTATGAGAATAACTACCCCATACGAACTGTTGATGTTTTCTTCTACATTTAGACGTGACTGCCTTAAATCTTGGGCATCCATATTTGAAGGGATCCGATGTGGCAATAGTAAAGCAACTGCTAGGTAGAATGATGACTAGACTATTGGTACAGTGAAATAGTGTGCACTTAGGTGTTGCCTTCTACATGTACAGTCTGGTTTCAGTAACTGATGTGGGAGATCACACAGCATGCGAATGCGATACAGTGTCCACTTCTGGCTCTCTGTGTCTCCGACCGGTTCGGTCATGTGCTGCCCGAGGCATGTGCGCCTACTCAAAGAACGATTGATGCGCAACCTTTGGTATTGACAAGTGACATCAACTAAGTCCCGCTGCTCACTGTCAAACATGCGACTTTCCAAACAGTGTTCACATTTATTGTGCAAATGTCCAAGTACTCAACCGTTTGTACCTACCGACCTGTACTCTACTGTGGTCATAAGCTATTTGCTAACGGTCTATCTCGTACTTTACGGGTGCAGTCATTCGGTGCTCATAAAACCATTGTCCCTATGCGCCGATTCATTTCCGATGTTATATAATAACACACTGACGTACCATTCCCGTTAGATGCAACCTTTTACTTAGTCCATTCAAAAGATTGGCCATGTGCAATGCAACTTCTGGTAGGCGTCTCTGCACGTCTGCCTTCCATCCGGTTAATACGTGTGTTTCATAGGCCCCCGGTAAATTCAGTATGGCTGAGGGATAACTGGAACTATAACTATACTCACTCTCTTCACTAGCCTGCGGAGTGGAACATGGAATGGCAATATCGTGATAATCGCTAGTCGGTTAATTGTCGGGATTGTTCACTTGACACAGGTTTTCCAGGGAAATTTCTCTTCGAATGCATAATCCAAAGCTATCATACATGCATGTGTTTTAACTACCATCGTGTACGCTGATTGCTTTTTGCTTCTGTGCTACCAGAACACGTCAAAGCCTACGGCTGCCACATCGCAACTGATGCTACCTACCGTCTCGAGGCTACCATGTGTGTTGCATCCTAGGGGATATCATCCGTTTACCCCTTGGTCTATGGACAGTCACCCTGTAGTGCCTGCTGTGTTACCATGACTTAAACTCTTCTTCCTTTGATCACTGCTCACTATACCATACGAGTATCCCATCGTTAGGAGCTGTACTCAATCGATCACGTTCATCTGATGTCAAATGACTACCCCTGTCTACTGTGTTCGCGATTCTCACCTCCCGTGGTTACTGCCGTTGACTGTCTGAGTTTGCACCGCTCAACTAGTACGCGGCAGCAACGAGACTACACTTTTAAGCGGTTGTCTTTAGATATTCCCTTTGACTTGTTCATGTCGCTTCCCCGTACTTATTTTTCTGCTATCACCTACCCCACCCTCCCAAAGCACCGTATCACAGGTGCACATCATATATTTCCAAGCAACAGTTCGCTCGGTCAGCTTTTCACAGCCCCTACTCCTCTCTATTCATTAGTTTCTTCTTTTCCAACCACGTTGTTAACCAGTTACCCCTGTATTTCATTTTGTCTATCCCGTTTTACAGCGCAGGATCAAGGAGGAAGGCATCCGAAGCTCACTGGAGCTGATGAAGCGTATGTATAAGGTAAATAGACTGGCGTTAGATTTTCGGGTTTTTTGGAGCACCCGCCGTGTGTCTTGGATTGCGACACGCAATCTCATTAATGGCGGCGGTTGACTTGAAAGTCAGCCTCTGCCAGACTGGCGTTAGTTTTTTCGCATCGCCCTCAGTTATCTTCCTCCGTTCCGTTTCTGTTGTTTAATCTTCCACTCCTATTCTGTTGGTGTCCGTGTCCTTGTTACTTACCTTCCAATGCTATCCATCCCGCAACCGCTGTATGCCGTGTTTGCACGGAACTTCGAAGTTGCGCATAGTACGCGCTTATCCACGTGGGTCTTTGAGCCTTGTGCGATAGCCTGGTTTCAGCTTCCTGGACAATTTGATGACGTGCTGATACTTGTGTGTGATTGTGCACACCTGAGAAGGAATTATTGAACAAATGTGCAACATGCTAAGAGCTGCTCCGGAGGACCCCGTCATCCCGACCAAGACTAAGCATATATACTGACAAACGGAACCGCACAACCGGTGAGCACTCTTGGGCGACTAGACTTCAGCCCGATGGCACTGGTCCTCACGCACATGTGAGCTGGCCTCGTCGAGTACCGGGCTGTCAAGCTCTGTGCTACATGCTTCGATTGATTTTACTATCGATTAACCGTTGCCATTCGCTTTCTTTATTTCATCGTATCGCGCGTTAGGTTTGCAATTTCCGTAAGATAACCCACATGACAGATTTGCTGATTATATTGTTCTGCTTGGCCGAGTACGTAATACGCCGGCACATTGTACCGATAATACACTGCCATGTGAGCACGACCGGTCGCACGTAAGCTTGGTGTGTCGCGAGATCGCCCACACCTGCGCGGATTGGCGGTCCCTTTAAATCGGCCTTTGCCTCTACATTGAACGTCATCTTTGCTTTATGTGCTGCGAATATATAAGTTTTTAAGGAATATTTTGGCATCTTTTTTGTCCCAAGTGCTTCCAGGATCAACAAGACCGTCTTACTCTCCACCTTTTGAATGCTAACTCGAGATATTACAGACTATTCGCGATTTGTTGCTTTTTGCCACAAGCTTTTAGTCCGGTTGAAACCAGTTATGAAGAAATGTCTTCATATAACTCTGCTCTCTCCGAGCAAAATAACCCGAGGATTCTGTCACTCATTTTGCGCTTAGTACCCAAGAATGCGGATCATTTTACTCTAGTGACGTCAATGCATTTTTCCTTTTTTTATCCACTCATGAAACTGCAATGTTGATCATGACATTTAGCTTCATTCGCAAGTGATACTGTCAAGGGCCGAAAATGCACCCATCCGGGTACACAAAGCTTACCTTTTGACTTTACTTGAACCGGTCACCTCTGGAGTACAAAGCAGGGGTGTAAAACTCTCCTGGCCACCAGTCGGAATGGATTTATTTTAACAAAACTGCTCTTGCTACACGAATTTGCATCGATAGAACCACTCTCTTCGGTCTCAGTGATATTGGCTCACTACATTTGTACTCTTCGAGAAGAACGCAGCGCAATCTCGTTCACCCTTGCTCGCTTCGTCGTTGAGCTGTTTCACTGTTGCTCTTAGAGAACATGTACCAACTCAGTTTGAGATGCAGTTCGTTTGTTCCTGTGCTTCACATGCTTCCGAATTGACGGTGAAGTGGCGGATCGTATAACCCAAGTTGAAGGCTTTTATGCTCGAACTCGCCACCTATGGCGGATCCAGTGTGGCATCACTCGCGCCACTGTATGAGTTCAGTCATCCCACTCTACTCGCAAGACTGGGTGTGACATAGTGCGTGAAGTAACCAGCTGACCAGTGCATTACTTATTTTGTGCACATTGCATATAAGGTCAGTTATAAGCATGCGTCTCTTGTGATCTGACTAGTGCCGTTAATGCTAAACCTTAGTTACATACAGTCTCTACTGAGTCCAGCCAAACCTTCGAACAAAAATGTTTAAAATAAAACTTCCGCCGATATGACCAGGACAAACTAAGGCTGAGCGTTGGTTGCTTTCGGTTGCAGACACCGGTCTAGGCCGACCCATCACGACAACCTCGGCGAAACGAAGGAGATGTCGAGTTGACTACAATCCGGTGGTCTGAGGTCAAAAGGTATCTGCCGATCGAAAATGCCAGACCCTCGCATGAACAGTTAACACGATATAGGCACAATAACTGATCAGTTTCGTGTTGTACCCACTGGGGCACGTGTTCTTTTACTCGAACATTCGGTACACCATCGGTCTCGCCTATGTGACTGACTACACGGTCACATACGAATCAATACATGAAATGCGAATTGTTCCCGCAATGCTGAACATCCTTTAGTGGAGACGGTAGCAGCTTCCAGTTCGTCTGTTGGCGGCACAGGCGCTTTGTGTGTCGAAGATTGGACAATTTTTGGTCCCCAGCTTCGTTGTGAATCTTTTGTTGCCGTGTCTTTTTCTCACTTTTTTGTTCTCCTTCCTATTTATACTGAGCTCATCTAACCTCAGGCGTTTTCCGATGTACCAAAGTGATCATCCCGCTGATGTTAACCACACGTCACTCCTAGGTGACTGTGACGAAAAATTGAGCGTTATGCCTAAGTTGGGAGCTGTTGCGATGAACCCCCAATTTCTTGCCTCAAATTCCACTATTCACAGCTTATCGAACTGTTCACCTTGGCATCTTCCATGTGTCATGTCGCACACAGCTTCTGTTGTGCGAAGCCATGGCTATAGGCACCAATCCTCTCTTTTGTAGCTTGCATGACAGGGAGGATGAGCCTGGCTATCTTAGCTTGTAAGCCATTACAGTCTACCGCGGTCATCCGTGACCTAGTGACATAAGCTATTGTCTACTGGCTCAACCCGCTGTTGTCGAGCGGCCATGCGTTCGATTCATGATTGAGCCATTAGGTCGAAACGGTCATCTTATGTCTTTCCCTGAGGTGTGGAAACCTATCTGACTTGGAAGCTACTACAAGGTTCCCTCAGTTAGTTGCGTCAAAAATCGAAACAAACGAACTTATCTCGCTTGTTTTTGTTCCCAGCTCGTGGTTTTCGTTCCTGTCGCCATCGATGTTGTGTCTAAGTGTTCGTTTCTATTTGTACGTCTGCCTGTTTCATTCTTCCGTTCGTCGTGCAAGTCACCATGTGTCTTCTTGTGCGTTGTTCCCGCCCACTTTAATCCCTCACTTACACACACACACACACACATCGCCCAGCGTCTTCTCATGTTTTGCCGGAATTTCCCACACCCTGTCCTCCTACGACGCTGTTCACTATCTTAGTCCGTTCTGTTATTCTCTCTATTGCAGATCAACGAATCAAAGCAGCAGCCTATCTCCTACGTCAGTTTCTACATTCCGGAGCTCAGGCAAAAGGTCGACCTTGACGCTGCTTTTATGAGCTGGCTCCATGAACGTGAAAATAGTGGGGTGGTGCGTTCCTTGCTGTGGTTACTGTTGTTTCTGTGTTGTAATTATTCGCATATCATCAGCAATGCCATTTCTCGTCTCCTATCACGTGAGTACACACGTGCGTTCGTATTTGTGTCGCCATCGGCCGCCTGGCCATGGATAAGCTAATTACTTCACTTCCAAACCACTGCTATTTTACATTTGTACTGAGACCTTTGAAGAAAACGGCTTTGCAGCGAATTGTCTTTCGCAGCATGACTATCTGCATCCTGAACTCTGCTCGCTTGCGCCTGCATCGTCACGGTCCTCATCAATTCAGCCTCCATTCGTAAACGTGTCAACCATCGTACACACACTGACGGTCCCAGTGATCGTATTGGCAGAGGCTGACTTCAAAGTCAACCGAGGCCTCATCACGTCAGCAACGACGGTTGTTCCACGCCATGTTTCGGCACCCATGCAGAGTGGTTTGTACGATCATCACTATGTGAGACTAACTGATCCGGCCTGCCCAAGCCCTTTGGGCTCCCGCTCGTGTTCGCTTCAGGCCCCATTAGCTTATATCGTCATGTGAGATACGCCGTTAGCTCTCTGATGGTATTCTATGAGTCCGTTCGCAGCATTTATTATACTTGGTGCCGTTTACTATTAATCACTATAACAGTCTCACTTCATATATTGTACGCAATCGTTCTCCTCATGTTTTTCCACAATCTGACCGTGCACTCTTCGTTTGAATTGATGGCTGTGAAATTTGCCCGATGTATCCATTGGTTTTGCTTACGTTTCTGGCAGATTTCGTTGATATACTGCTGCATGTGCTGTTCAGCTCATGCAATCTAATTGTGTCGGTCTTGAACTCTCTTGAGTCACCCTGCCTTATCCCGCTCCTGATTTGATCATCATCCACCGCCGACCGCAAAGCCATTGCGTGACATGGTTAACATATGCTTACTTCCACTGTCCTTGTTGAATGCACTCTGTTTCATGGGAGTCTGTTGATGCTGGTGTTCAGTGCGTCACTGTACTTTGGTGTAATTGTTTCTCATTACTCTCGGTGCCTCATGTTTGATGCTATTTCCCCTTATTTCCTCATGGCAAGTGAATGACTCTCCTCCGTGGAGCGTTCGGTGTTTCTCCCCTCACTGCCTTCTACGACGCGTTTCGTCCTTGTTTCCACTTATCAGGTAAAAATAGCCCGAGCCGAGAGTAGAACCCGGCACATAGTGGTTGGCGGTTATCGTCATGACCACTAGGTCATTGAATTTCTCGAGCAGCGCTTGATACAGTGGTTAGAAGTTGGTAGTCGGGTGTTGGAGTGCCCTCCGTTTATCTTGGATTGCGACACATAATCACAATTTTGGCAATAGCCGCCAACCACTGTATGCCGAGTTCCACCCCCAATTCTGACTATCTCTACCTAATGAGTACAAACAAGAACGAAACGCGCGGTTGAGTGCAATAGTGAGAGAGTGCAACACTGAAACTCTCCACTTTGGTTATGGTCCCAGTGATCGGAATGGCAGAGGTTGACCTCAAAGTTAATTATGGTCACAGTTGGGATTGCGTGTTGCGGTTCAACACGCACGTAGGGTGCTCCGAAACCCAACAATCGGCTCTCATACGTCTTTTTCCGCTTCTTCTGGGGCGGATATTCCGTTAGCTAACTATCTGTGTCTCTTTGTATCGAACACAGCTGCAATGCAAGTCCTACTGCATAGGGCGACGAGTGGTGCTGTAACCTTAGACATGTGCCTTGCCTCTTCAAAGTGTAAGCTTTGCTACCAGCCTAGGTTGACATGTCACCAAATTTCACAGTTATGGACGAAGCAGTCGATCGATTTAATTATTATTAAGGCAGCTGCATCAAATCTGGAGATCGTATCGCCGAGAAAATTACTCCACGCACTGCTAAGGCTCGCATGACTATCCAACGCCCTCGTCGCTTATGGAGGTAGATTCATAAGGTTGCGGCTTTACCGATGTTGCTGTACAGATAGAGACGACCTCTCCGCGCAAGTAGTCAGTAATCGCCTTAGCAGCTTACGTGCCACGTCGGCCGATGGCGACTTGCAAAGACAGTCGTTGCTCGGAGGACCAACCCTATCCGCTACACATTTATAGCATGCACAACGGTGCATAAGATCCACGCTATATCCTAGTTAACTATCAGCCATGACGGTCTGCCGCCGTCATCTATGGCTTAGTGGCATACGTCGTTGACTCGTAAGAATTCTAGTCCGGTGAGTGCAATCTCATGAGGAATACCAATAGGAAGAAACGACTCTCTAGCCCTTTCCTAGATGTGTGGTGACTGTCTGGCTAAGTCTAGCTGCGACGAATCTTTTCAAAATTCAAATAAATCCTTCCAACTACCCACTAATAAGCAGTAATCGCCTTAGCGGCTTACTGGCCACCACGATTGGTGGGGGCTTGCAAAGAAAGTCGTTGCTCTAGAGGCCAGCCTTGTCCTCTACACGTTCATAACATACATAACAGTGGATGATGCTCCGCGCTATCTTCTAGTTAGATATCAGTCATAGCGGTCTGCTGCCCTCACCGATGACTCAGTGGTATAAGTCGCTGACTTGTAAGAGTAAGGTAATGAGTTCGGATCCGGAAGCGTCCGAGTCCCAGCAAGACGACGCAACCGTTTAGAGCTTTTCTGGATGTGTGATGTCTGTCTGGTTGAGTCTAGGTACAACGGATCTACTACGAAAGCAAATCTGACCACTACTACTCTTTAACATTTGCTGATTACTATATATATATATATATATAGTAGTATTCAGCCGAAGGCTCGGGGTGGTGTCCCCTAAGTCAACACCCTACTTCGGCTTGGGCAACCGGGTAGTATCTCACCCTCTGATGAAACCATGGACTTTAATGTGCTGTGTTTTCTTTTACAATTGCTATACCTTCTTTTGTGCTCGATGGTTTCTGATGGCTCTATGTCTATGCACAGATTGCTGCAAATATATATATATATATATATATATATATATATATATATATATGATGTTGCATTCGTGAGCAGCGGAGCAAATTCAGAGGATCGCGCCCATTGGGAGCCGGTGACTGATTGCTCAGTTCATACGCTTTTCGTTTGGTCCTTTGTCAAACAGGGGCCCAATGCTCCCCAAAATTACAACACATAGTTGCCGGAATACAATGATTCGCCAGGATGAAGCAAGGGGCAGTGACTTTATTTAGTGGCAAGTCACGTTACAGTGTTGTTAAACGAACATATGTGGCTTTTTGTAGGGAGAACGCTTGCCAGGCGAAAACCCACCACGTCCTGGAACACTGCCGCCGAACCATTTGCTGGAACGGGAAAATCCCGAACCACCCAGCTGGCACCACGATGAGGTTGTTCGGCAAGCCAGCTGTGTTCGGCCACCGACTTGTGCGCGGTGTTGTTCATGTCTGTCTGGTGGGAGAACCGAATGAGCAATGCTGATGCTCGTCATCTGGTCTTCCATATCGGACCCTCTGATACCTCTGAAGTGCGTGTTATTACTCGAATCGCCTCCGGCCATTCGGTCGAGTGTTGCTCTTTCGCATGCGTACCCGGAAGCCGGATGCATCCGTTTTTGTTGTTTGCCATTGCTGCGTATACTTGGCTGTAGCCACCTGGTGGTCAAAACATGGCATAGCAAAAGCGCATGGAGGAATTTGCCAAATGGCAGAATCTGGCTGTGTTTATCTCCCTTTCCTGCATGGTGTCTTCGGAATTGATCACAGTGGTCGTTGCTTATCCTGTCTGTTATGACACTGTCACTAAGCCCGTGGTGATCTCGTAGTCGCTCTCTACTATCTGATCCCCAATTGCTCCACTTGACGATTGTGTTTCTCACTCATTTCCCTTCATTATTATTATTATTATTATTATTATTATTATTATTGCTGTTATTATTACTGTTGTGATGATGGTGGCGGCTGTTATGGTTGTCGTTATATGCACGAAGTGAGTCAAGGTCTCACGAGTCGTAATTGATTAGTTCAACGAGGCTGGACCTTAGTGTAATACGCTTGTGTACTCCCGTGACACATTAAACTACGCTGATTGGCACTTTCCAAGTGTCTTCAAAACCACTCATACCATTTAGGTCAATGGTTATGGGTCAGACTAACCTAGTCTCAAAATGCAATCCTCTTCGTAGGTTAGGGATAGATCGATGGCCCTATTCCTTTAAAACATAGCCATGGGAGACAACAGGTCGACAAGGTTAGAGGCTCATGGTTCGATTGGCGTGGTATTTTTAAATAACTTTCGGACCTTTGTAATTATCGCGGATTGGTTTATAACCAATTTCATCCACATGCTCGTTTAGCGAGTATTTATGTCGTCATATACGTTTACTTTATTTGATATCGGCATTTCGTATGATTATCTGTTGTTTGACATCCCAAGTGTGGATGCGCTTGATGCGCATGTTGACAAGTTGCCTGCCTGTCCATTACCCACTACCTCATCCATACTGGCTCCAGGAGACAGTTGGTCGTTGCTGGAGGGGACGCGGTACACGGTCCTTGTGGTCGTGCTAGGCCCGAAGAGTGGTTCCATGCACTCAGTGTGGAGCGGACTACGGTCCAGCCACCGCCTTGTGTGCGGTTGATTCCCCAAATACAGCGTGCTTGTGTTTGCCTGTGAAGGAGTGTGGGCCGGCTCCGTTGATGAAATGTGGCTCCCATGCGCATGCCTCCCGGTCTTATTCCCTCAGGTTTACACTGGATACGGGGTGTGTACATGGAGCTGTGGGTGGTGCAGCGCAAGCCATCCATGGTCCCTCTGTAGGCGCAGGCGTCCTGTGGCAAATATATATATATATATATATATATATATATATATATATATATATATATATAATGCTTGGCACCATCCGCTTTCCGATTTACCTGTCACTGTGGCCAACCACTGGATGCCTGCGCCTACAGAGGGATCATGGGTGACTTGCGCTGCACCACTCACAACTCCAACCACACACCCCATATCCAGTGTAAACCCGAAGGAATAAGAC